GTGTTCTCAATGCTTATATTCGTCGAGCGCTTACCCACTGCTCTGAATGGAGCAACGTGAGTAGAGAGTTTGAAAGAGTAACTCAGGTATTGGTGAACAACGGATATAGCAACGCGGAAATAAACGCTGCTATAAGAAGACACTTGGACCGTTGGTATAATTCAGAACCTAGAACAGAAACCACAACACCCCCAATAAAATTATATTACAAATCAACCATGCACAGTGAACATATAAAAGAGGAAAGAATAATGAAAGAAATAATCCGTAAAGGAGTAAAAAGCACTACTCCTAACCAAAACATAAACCTGATAATATTCTACAAAACCAAGAAGACTTCCGAACTCCTTATCAAAAACAGCCCGAAGCCGACGGAGAACCCTCTACAGCAGTCAAGCGTTGTATACATGTACACTTGCCCCCACGAAGGATGTAACCTTCAATGTAAGTACATAGGTATGACGTCGACCAAGCTGACGAGGCGTTTGACATGCCATCTTCAATCTGGTGCCCCTAGGAATCACATGAGACAAGCCCATGACATTACTCTAACAAGAGAAATGTTGAACAAGAATACTTGCATAATAGACAAAACCCAAGATTCAAGAAGATTACAAATTCTTGAGGCAATTCACATAAGAACAGAGTGACCTACCATGAACACCCAAATCACGGAACTATTTACTCTACCCACCATGAGAGTAAGGACAAGACAAGAACATATCGATGCCAACACAGAAGACAATGTCCAACATAACAGGCCAATTACACTGGATTAATCTTTGTGTTTAGATAGGAGATGCCTCGTATGGGCCAATAAGCCTTCTGCAGCCCCTATGTTTATCCCTTATGTATCCCCCCATGTTTTCACCTTCATTGTATTATCACCTGACCTAATGCGGGTATAAAATCAACTAGTATTGTAAGATCTGTTCACTTGAGAATGAACCATGGAGGTTCGAAACGTCGTGCAAATTATACAAATAAGTGTAATACACTCTATAGTAAATCACTTCTTTTCTTCACCTTAAAAGTACGAAAATGAGTTTTGGAGAACTCCTATTTCAATTAAGCCCTGATGCTAAGAAAATAGTTAGAGGGATAGAAGCCCTAAACCAGAAAATAATAAATACAGAATATGCGGTCATATTCAATGAAATATATATATATATATATATATATATATATATATATATATATATATATATATATATATATATATATATATATATATATATACAGAGCACCACTTGGTTTCCGAACTTTAGTTATCCGAAACTTTCAGTTTCCCGATTGGGGTTGGGGAGTCATGCTACCCGAACAAAGTTCGGGTAGGAAGGGGTACGCCAAGCGTCACGCCGGCTTGTGGTGGTGGGTGGGCGATGGTCCAGTTTGCCCACTGTGACTTCACAGATTCACGGCCTATTATTCCTATTATTTTGAATTGCCATAAGGCTGGAATGTTCATTCTGTGCTTTTGTTTTACATATCTGCACAATCAAGAAACATCTGTGCACCATGTTGGCTCCAAATGCACGCATTGCGTCAGTGATGGCTGACTGGTGGGTGGATGGACGATGGAGCTTAGGTGGGAGGCAGTATGAATGAGGGGGGAGGGAGAATCAGTGAGAGAGGGGGGGAGAGAGATGCTAGGAGGGAGGGGGAGGTAGGGAGAGATGTTAGGAGGTAGGCAGGAAGGGATGGAAGTAGTGAGAATTAGGGAGGGAAAGGCAGGCTGGCAGGCACAGGCAGGCAGACAGGCAGGCAGGCTAGCTTGCAGGCAGGGAGTGAGTGGTAGTCACGCGGTTGAACCGCGTGACCTTGAGAGATGGGATGTAGGGGGGCGGGTGGTTTGTTGGTGGTGGGGGTGAGACCGGCTCATTCCCGAAGATAAGCCTAACACACACTACCCGTTAGCATGATGGCAGGGAGGGAGGCAGGCTGGCTGGAAAGGAAGCAGGCTGCCAGGCTGGGAAGGAGGCAGGCTGGCAGGCTGGGAAGGAGGCAGGCAGGCAGGCTGGGAAGGAGGCAGGCAGGCTGGGAAGGAGGCAGGCTGGGAAGGAGGCAGGCAGGCAGGCTGGGAAGGAGGCAGGCTGCCAGGCTGGGAAGGAGGCAGGCTGGCAGGCTGGGAAGGAGGAAGGCAGGCAGGCTGGGAAGGAGGCAGGCTGGGAAGGAAGCAGGCTGGCAGGCTGGGAAGGAGGCAGGCTGGGAAGGAGGCAGGCTGGCAGGCTGGGAAGGAGGCAGGCAGGCAGGCTGGGAAGGAGGCAGGCAGGCAGGCTGGGAAGGAGGCAGGCAGGCTGGGAAGGAGGCAGGCTGGCAGGCAGGGAAGGAGGCAGGCTGGCAGGCTGGGAAGGAGGCAGGCTGGGAAGGAAGCAGGCTGGCAGGCTGGGAAGGAGGCAGGCTGGGAAGGAGGCAGGCTAGGAAGGAGGCAGGCTGGGAAGGAGGCAGGCTGGGAAGGAAGCAGGCTGGCAGACTGGGAAGGAGGCAGGCTGGGAAGGAGGCAGGCTGGGAAGGAAGCAGGCTGGCAGGCTGGGAAGGAGGCAGGCTGGGAAGGAGGCAGGCTGGGAAGGAAGCAGGCTGGCAGGCTGGGAAGGAGGCAGGCTGGGAAGGAGGCAGGCAGGCAGGCTGGCAGGCAGGGAAGGAGGCAGGCTGGCAGGCAGGGAAGGAGGCAGGCTGGCAAGCTGGGAAGGAGGCAGGCTGGGAAGGAAGCAGGCAGGCTGGGAAGGAAGCAGGCAGGCAGGCTGGGAAGGAGGCAGGCAGGAAGCGATATATGGGTGTTGAAGTGAACCGTGAACCACGTGACCTTTGAGAGTGTGTGTGTGTGTGTGTATGGGTTTGGGGTGGGGGGTGGGGGAGGTGTGTCGGTGGTGGGGGAGGGACCAGCTGACTCCGTAAGCCTAACCACACTCCACAGACCTGTGACCCAGATTTGTTTCTTAAATGTACAGTACATCATCGTATATTTTAGGCAGGATGTGCCTGCAGGCTGTCAGGATGTGCCTGCAGGCTGGCAGGATGTGCCTGCAGGCTGGCAGGATGTGCCTGCAGGCTGGCAGGATGTGCCTGCAGGCTGGCAGGCAAGCTGGCAGGCAGGCTGGCAGGATGTTCCTGCAGGCTGGCAGGATGTGCCTGCAGGCTGGCAGGATTTTTTTGCAGGCTGGCAGGATGTGCCTGCAGGCTGGCTGGCAGGATGTTCCTGCAGGCTGGCAGGAAACATCCAGAGGATGTTTGCCAGACGTCTTAATAATCAGTTAGGAACAATTAAGGACTTTTATAAAGCGGATCAGGACTTCACTTATTGATGAGTACAAACAAAACACGGTCGCATTTACGCCATGAACCTGACGATTTTTTTCCCTAGAGTTGTTTTCATAAATTTTTCGGAAAAATTTCTTTTTACATTTCTAGTTTATTTTTTCCCCTCTATTTCTCGTATACGAACTTACATGTTAACCGACGGGTCTCGTCCCCAAGGGGTTCGGAAACCAAGTGGTGCTCTGTATATATATATATATATATATATATATATATATATATATATATATATATATATATATACTGTATATATATAATGTATATTATTTATATACTGTACAGTATTTTGTGGCCAAGTATGAATGTAGTTACATCAGCATAGATCTAGATGGTGGGTAGAACATTGTATGGTTCTCAGGTGAGCTGAAATTAGTAGTGTGAAGCTGGTCTGTAGCACTACTAACTGTTAAGGTTCTTCTTTCTGTTCACAGTAGTAACAATTCCTGTGATCTTTCAATTTTAATTCATACTTTGCAGAGAGCTGAGAATTACCTTTAATATTTTTACTCCATTGTATTCCAACTCTGCTTGTTGAGGGCTCAAATAACCAGGAGGGATGGGAATATCAAGCCCCCTTCACCTTGGACTTGCAACCCTTCCAGCTCAGGCATTGTTTTTTATTTGGGTGGGCTAAACTTGTACCTATATATTGGGTATTTAAGAGAGCTAGTTACACTAGGACTTAAAAAGTGTTCTGTTATTATTTTAGGGTCCAGCATGCTTAGGGATGTCATTGGTGCAGGCACAGTGGAGCTTCACATGGGGTATGAATTCATTTTATTGTAAAGTGTAACAGTGAGGATAGAAACAGGTGTGTAGTGATGAGACATAAGAGAGAACTGCTTCAGAATATGAACTACTTACATGCCAAGTGTTTTATGTGTCATCTTTTGCTTGACATTGAAGTTCTTTTTATTTTTTAATTAAATTTGGTAAATACTGTTTGATTTCAGAATAATCGTTAGCCAAGATTATTTATACCTCCTTGGCTGCTCACCTAAGAACCTAGAAGAATGATTCATATACTGTATGCACATTACATTCATGGAATACACACATTGTGCTCATGGTGTGGGAGGGATTTAGCTAAGCCAGGAAACAGCAAAATTAAATGTGACTGTATAAAGTTAATTATTTTAATACATATAATGTTTTTTTCAGCAACATCTTGGGTGCAGAGAGCAAATTACCAGAATTTCCAAGCGCCTCAAAATTATGATGGTAAGTAAACAACCTCTTATATAGGTATCCAAAATAGGGATTACTGTATTGTTTAAAATGTAAGATATGCTGGTATAGGGAACCAGTAATATCTTTCTCAGTCAGCTGTAATAGATAAATAGGTATCCAGATGCAGATTATCTTTAAGTAATATATTATACAATGCTGTAATATTAAAATACTGTACTGTATTATTTATGATTAAAATTATTCTAAAAGAATTATGATTATAGTTGTTTGTCTTAATATAGGAGACCCTCATGTAACATTAAATCTCAAAGTTCAAATTTCACATATTTGCAACTGATTGCCTGAACACAAAATACAATAACTTCATAGATTACTGGTAGCTTAGGAGCATTTCATGCAGTATGAGGTTTTAACCAGAAAACATCTGTTGTGAGAGCCTACTGTTTTGTAAATTACAATTATGTTTTATTTAAAAACAACTCGGTAACCCACAGATATAGATGTACCAAAAGACCGCCAAAAGCTACGTTTCCTCCCTAAAGTTCCTCAATACCCACCTTCTGTCCGCCCTCCAAAAATGACGAAGAGGTTGGATCTAATTCGCGGTGAAGAAGAAATCCACAGAGACTTGATTCATCAGCAGTATGGTATTATTGTATGTTAATCATTATTGACAATACTGTTTATATCTCTAAAATAGACATAAATTATGCTTTTATTGAGTACTTTGCAGAAGATAGATTTAACTGTTTTATTGGTATACTGTACAGTCCTATTGTACATATATAAGAACATAAAAATTGGGGAGCACTGCAGCAAGCTTATTGTTATGTAATAGGTGGGTCTTATTTAAATCAGCCTAACTTTCACCTATTTACCTATCCAATCTATTTTTGAATCCTGTTAAATGACTTTATCGCAATAATGCTAGTCGTCAGGCCACTCCTCCACAATTCCTACCCGGTTACCAGCAGAGAGGCTATAGGCCTCACTCTTGCAGTGCATATGATTTTTAAAATCCAGAAAAAAAGGTTGTGTTCGCTAGATTTCTTTCAAATATGACGGACAATCTCGAGAGACCGCTGCCTCACAGGGTCGACCAACCTGGTCGACTGACCTGGTTGATCGACCGGGCTCACAGGGCTCACAGGAATCGGCTCCCTGGAGCTGTCGGACTGATATATGCTGTATGGTATTAGTCTGGGGTTTCAGTCACATGTAGTTCTGCCTACCAGGAAGCACGAGCCAGAACCTGGCTTCCTCAGAGAGGTGCAGGGGGCAATGACTATGAAAACTCCACCCTTCGAGAGTATATTTATGTCTGCCATCGACCGGGATTAGGTACCCAGAAAGGTAGGCATCCCAAAACAAACCCCAACTGGTAGAAAATTACAACTAAAGACCGAACAGAGTCCAAGAACCCCCCCCCCCCCCAAGAAAAACAATGCAACAAGCAAAACGTCATCAAACTGGCGTGCAGCTCGCTCACGAGTGTTGGCTCACCCGAGCCGGCCACTCGCCCACCAGTTTGTCGACTGAAGCCGACTGGGGCTTTGCGTTCGGCTCTCTTCCGCCCCCCACTCCCTGGGTTCCTTTGGGTTCTTTGGATTCGTCCTTCTGGAGGTTTTCTGCCTCTCCGATTTCCTCTGCAGGGGGTTTGGGAGACCATCAGTGCTTACCTCCTGTGAGACCTGGTATTCGGCTCTTCTTTGAGTTCGGTTCCTCGTCCCCATATTGGTTTCATTATGAGATTCCTGGGTCTTCCTGGCTTGTGGACTGCACTTTCTTTGTTTATGGGGCTTGTCACGGGTCTTGTCATACCCTCACGTGAGGTAGTGAGGTAGTTGAGTGGCGTGAGGTTATCTCGGTGTTACAGGTGTTCTTGGGGGGTTCTCTTGAGTTCCTCAATGAGTACCTTCACACCCCTGTGCTTTCTCGTGAGGTTGGGTTGCTGCAGTTGCACGCTCATGTCCCTATGCTTTCTGCAGCCTTGGTTAGTGTGGATCATCATGCCCGCGGTCATTTGGCTTCGATCTTGCGTTTCTTTTGGCTTCTCGAGCTGTCTTCGGACTAGCTTTCAGAGGACGTGGAAGTGTTGGATGCTGGGCCTTCGACTGCTGAGCTGGTCTTGGCGGCTCGGGCATTGGTGGCGTTGCTGAAACTGTTTGCGCCTATTCTCCGGGAGGCGGTTTCCAGGTTTTCTGCCTCTCGCCTCACATGTTGACAAGCCATCCTTGCTCTCTCTTTTGCTTCTGCTTGGGCCTTGGCTCTTCAATCTTTGACTCCTTTTTGTGTTGTTGTTTTCAGAAGCCATTGTGACTCAGTTTTGACAGCGGCTTTCTCCAGTTGCCGTCCTATTTCTGATTTGTTGGTGATCCGAATAGGCCGTTCTCACTTTTCTCGGTGAGGTCGTGCCAGGGCTCGGGTTTCGGTGGTCAAGGTGGGTCATTTGTTCCAAATTGTGCCAGTGTTTCCTCCGGGGCCGCCTTCGTCTGGTCGGCGCGGTGTTTGCTCTGCATAAAGGTCAGCATATCAGGGGTTGTGTCAGCCCTTTTGCAAGTTTATGGGGGGGGGGCGGTTGGCACTGTTTGCCCATGCTTGGTCCCACGTTTCTTGGGTGTTTTGGGTAGTGTCATCCGTCCTTTGGTGGCGTTAGGCAACGCCTACTCCTCCGGGGAGTTCAGGGCTGGTAGGGCAGGCTTCCTCCTCGTCGCTTTATTGGGTCATTTTGGAATGGGTGTGTTTGGGCATGGTCGAACCAACCTTGTCCCTCAAGTGGGTTTTCTTGTTTTTCCAGTTCTGTACTGGGACTGCACGGGTCTTCGGTTCTTCTGGACTTGTCTTGTCTGAACCGTTTGATTCCTTGCCTCTCCTTTCGGATGACCACTCTCCCTGGTCCAGCATCTTCTCAATCCAGGTACTTGACAGTTGTCACTGGACATCAAGGACGCTTATTGGTGCGTTCCTTTTCACTCGGGGTTCAGGGTTTGGTTCAGTTTTATGGATCTGGCACCTCGCATTTTATGCGTCTTTCCCGGTTCATGGTGTCCCGTATTTGTCTTTTTGGGTGTTGGACTACCTTGATGACTGGTTGGTATAGGCTCCCAGCCAGTCTGCATGTCTGCTCGCCTAGGATTTGGTTCTTTCCCGGCTTGCAGGGTTCAGGTTCCTGGTAGGCTGGGAAAAGTCTCATTTGGTTCTGTCCCAGGTTCGAACTTGGCTGGGCCTGGTCTGGGTTTCTCTGATGACTCTGTGTCCCTCTTGGTTGATACCTGGTTGATGGGGTTCTGGGAGTTCTTCTACTCCCCAAGCCCGGCCCGAGGCCAGGCTTGACTTGTGAGAGTTTGGTCCACTAGGCTGTTGCTTGGAGCGGCCAGCAGGCTTCATACCCACCACAGCCCGGTTGGTCCGGCACTCCTTGGAGGAATAAATCTAGTTTCCTCTTGAAAATGTCCACGGTTCTTCCGGCAATATTTCTTATGCTTGTTGGGAGGACGTTGAACAACCGCGGACCTCTGATGTTTATACAGTGTTCTCTGATTGTGCCTATGGCACCTCTGCTCTTCACTGGTTCTATTCTACATTTTCTTCCATATCGTTCACTCCAGTACGTTATTATTTTACTGTGTAGATTTGGTACTTGGCCCTCCAGTATCTTCCAGGTGTATATTATTTGATATCTCGTCTTCTTTCTAGTGAGTACATTTGGAGGGCTTTGAGACGATCCCAATAATTTAGGTGCTTTATTGCGTCTATGCGTGCCGTATATGTTCTCTGTATTCCCTCTATTTCAGCAATCTCTCCTGCTCTGAAGGGGGAAGTGAGTACTGAGCAGTACTCAAGACGGGACAACACAAGTGACTTGAAGAGTACAACCATTGTGATGGGATCCCTGGATTTGAAAGTTCTCGTAATCCATCCTATCATTTTTCTGGCTGTCGCAATATTTGCTTGGTTATGCTCCTTAAACGTTAGGTCGTCAGACATTATTATTCCCAAATCCTTTACATGCTGTTTTCCTACTATGGGTACATTTTATTGTGTTTTGTACTCTGTATTATGTTTAAGGTCCTCATTTTTACCGTACCTAAGTACCTGGAATTTATCACTATTAAACATCATGTTATTTTCTGATGCCCAGTCGAAAACTTTATTAATATCAGCTTAAAGTTTTTCAATGTCTTCAGCCGAGGTAATTTTCATACAGATTTTTGTGTCATCTGCAAAGGATGATACGAAGCTGTGACTTGTATTTTTGTCTATATCTGATATGAGAATAAGGAAAAGCAGCGGTGCAAGGATTGTACCCTGAGGTACAGAGCTTTTAACTGCACTTGGACTAGATTTTATATGGTTGACCGTTACTCGCTGAGTCCTGTTTGACAGAAAACTGAGTATCCAGCGTCCTACTTTACCGGTTATTCCCATTGACTTCATTTTGTGTGCTATCATGCCATGGTCACATTTATCGAAAGCCTTTGCGAAGTCCGTGTATATCACATCAGCATTCTGTTTTTCTTCTAATGCCTCAGTGACTTTGTCGTAGTGCTCAAGTAGCTGTGAGAGGCACGATCTTCCCGCTCGAAATCCATGTTGGCCTGGGTTGTGAAGGTCATTGGTCTCCATGAAATTGGTGACCTGACTCCTAATCACTCTCTCAAATACTTTTATGATGTGCGATGTTAGTGCAACTGGTCTATAATTCTTTGCCAATGCTTTGCTCCCTCCCTTGTGTAGAGGGGCTATGTCTGCTACTTTAAGTGCATCTGGTATCTCCCCCGTGTCCAAGCTCTTCCTCCACACTATACTGAGTGCCTGTGCTACCGGCACTTTGCATTTCTTTATAAATATTGAATTCCATGAGTCTGGACCTGGGGCCGAATGCATGGGCATGTTTTCAATTTCTCTTTCAAAATTTAGTGCGCTCGTGTTTATATCAGTTATATTTACAGGGGTTTGAATATCCCGCATAAAGAAATTGTCTGGATCTTCCACCTTCATGTTGTTTATTGGAGTGCTAAACATGTCCTCATACTGCTTTTTTAGGATTTCACTAATTTCTTTGTCATCCTCCGTGTATGAACCTTCACATGTACGAATGGGTCCAATACTGGCAGTGGTTTTTGCTTTTGATTTCACATATGAGAAGAAATATTTTGGATTTTTCTTTATTTCCTGAATTGCTTTCTGTTCTAACTGCCTTTCTTCAGTTTCATATGAGTGTTTCAATTTCCGCTCGATTTCTTCAATCTCCCTATTAAAATTATTCCTTCTTTGACGGGAAATTCGTGTCTGCATAGCAGTTCCGTTATTTTTTTTCCTGCATTTATAGTGTCGTCTGTGTTCTCTTTCTACGTTAGATCTCTTTCTGGCTTTCCTCAAAGGAACATGTTTCAGACAGACTTGATACGCTTCTGAAGTCAGTTTTTCTATTCCTTCTGTAGGACTTGTATTACTTAGAACAGTTCCCCATGGAATGTTTGTAAGTTCCCTGTTTATTATCTCCCAGTCTATCCTTTTATTATTAAAATTGAATTTACTGAATAGCCCCTCTCGCTTTATCAACATTTTAGGTCTATTCTGAGTATTGATGGTCGTTTGCACTTCAATGAGCTTGTGATCTGAGTATGTGGTATCTGATATCGTAATGTCTCT